AAATGTGGTACGGTGTGCCCTTTTGAGCGGCTTTCATGAGAACCCTCCGCACTCCACACTGGCCTTCTCAGCCCCCTTCATCCTTGTGCTGGGAATGTTGATCAGAGTCTGCCATATTGTTACGCCGTCCTCCTCCCTTAGGTCTTACCACAGTCTCTCTCTTGCCCCGTAAGATCCGTCTGCCCTCTCCATGGTTCACATATTTCACTCCATCCTTGCCACCCCATCTGTGCCACTCGAGGCGTTATTCGCCCTCCCCTGCATCGGAGTGATTAATTCGAGGCTCAAGCCTCTGAGTAAGTGTGATGGTCAGACCTTTGCCACATGGAACCACGTCTCTTATAAAACCTACTGTCAGCCCACTAGCTCCCATCGCCGCCGCGTCTATCCTGTTTCTATCTCCAATACCCAGTCTATTACTTTCAATGCCCTAGTCTCTTGTGTGCCAACCCACAAATGTTGCAGTACTGCTTGCTTTGGTTAGGTTCAATGTTGAACAACAACTTGGGTTGGCACACAAGAGACTAGGGCATAGGAAGTCATAGACTTGGTATCATAGATAGAAAGAGGATAGATATAGTGGAAGCTAGAGCTATACGAAGAGCTAGTTGGGTAACAATAGTCGTGATGCAAGGATCACTTTTATGATCCAACACTACTATTTTTAGCCAAATAGCTTTTATCTCCACCGTGTCTTTTATATTTCAATCTGTGATACCATGTCCATCACTTCCTACGTCCTAGTCTCTTGTGTGCCAACCCACAAATATCCTGGTTATACTTGTTTTGATTAGGCTTACTGAAGACGTGTCCTCTTGGATTGTGATTGTTCCTTTCTCATCCCCCTGCGATATCTTTTCCTAAAATTAAAAATATTACCTTGATATAGTCGTTTTCTTTTTGCTGGTCTTCTCCGAGTTTGTTTAGGAAATATACAAACTTTTCGCTGATCCTGCCTTTTTCAAATCTCCTGTTGATTAGATTTCTTTCGGCCAGTATTTCGATGGCCGCTCAGATCTTGCGTTTTCTCGTATTTTCACCACATGCAGCCAACCTTTCGGTCTATTTCGTGCCCCGTTCGTGCAATGTGTTCTGCTATTTCGGATCTTTTCGTATCCATGTTCCTGCAGAGTCCTTGATGTTCCTTGATTCGTAGGCCGAATTTTCTTCCTGCTTCACCAATATAATTTTGCTGACAGTTTCCGCATTTGACGTGATAACTCCCCAGCAATCAAGTTTGTCCGTCTTCTCGTGTAGCGTCGGCAGACTTATGAAAAGTGTTTTCTCCTCCTTTGTTATCACCCTGATATTCCATTTCCTTAGTAACGGTCGCAATTATTGGCTCAGTTCTGATGAGGGTAGGGAAATCCACTTTTATTCGCCCTCCTGATTCCCGATCTGATTTTCATTAAATCCAAATTGAAATCGGCCCTTTCTAAGCTCTACATTTTTTTTCTATCAATGTTCTAGGATATCCGTTACTAAGGCAAATCTGTGTCAGTTTGCCCAATTCCTCATCCCAGAACTCATTGTTCTTAAATCGTAAGCTTCTGATGATCAAACTCCTCAGTATTCCGATTTTTTAACCAATTTTATTTCTTTTATTCAGCTGCTTTATAAGCTAGCTAATTCTACTAGCATAAATTTATATAGAAGTGGTCAGACCTCGTTTTCGCAACTTGGCCGCGTTGTAAGAGGGACTTAGTTGGACACGCCTTGTCCGAGGTCCCCTGCTATAGTAGTTTTCATAATTCCCAGTGTCGGACCGTGGACTCTGTACATTTCCAGACGTTTCGCCGGCATCGTCAGTGAGTCTTGCCACTCTTATTACCAAGCTACAACTCGTCCAAGAGACAAGTGAAGTCAATCCCTTGACCAACTTTCTGCCGAAACGGTTGTGTTATCATTCCTCTTTCAGTCCTGGCCTATCTATCTACTCCCAACACTCTTGCTTCACTACAGCCTTATCAAAATTTTTGACTTGTTTGTATTCCTCCTTCAGAGATGTGCTCTTTTTCGGCGAATTTATCGTGGCCTCATCACACTTGCCATTTGCCTTGCCCCCTCTCCCTCTCGACTTGCCGATCCGACTTAGACCTATCCTCATCTCCCTCGTTGGCTCGTAGATCTATTTCTTCTCTTTCTGGTTAACCGATTTCACTCTGTTCCAGTCCCGGTATACCTTTCACTTCAGGCGCTATTTCTCAATCCTTCAATAGGACGTACAAACTCGCCTCACGTACAGAACGCATAAGTTCTGATCCTGATGCTTGCATATATTAGGTATGGCTTTCATTACATCGTCTCCTTGATTTAATCCGTATAATCTGACCAAATTGTGCATGTCTATCTCTCGTCGCCTGCTAGCTCTCGAGTGGATTTCTAACCAATTTGGCTATAAGGCCAAATTTATCTGACGGTTTTGATTATCCATTTCCCTGGCTATGTGCCCACTAGCTCCAAAAGTTGAGGCGGCAGTGTGCGTGCTTCTAGTCCCTTA